ACAGTCCCTGGGAGCCTGTGCCGGTGACTGTGCCCCACGGCCATGGATTTGCAGGGAGGTTCCTGCTCTCCTCCCAGTTAGGACCATTCTGTGCTGGACTCCCCCAGGCTGTTGGAGAGGAGCTGTGAGGGCTGACGCAGATGGATGACCTGCAAGGCTCCGCCTGAGGCCCTGGCCAAGCAACAAGGAGTTTATTTTTAAGTTTTCCCAGCATACAGAAAAGGCAAATGTCTAAATCCGACCGCAGGAAGAGCCGTGGCAGGAGCAAAACACTGGCTGACAGAGGAGGAAGGGCAGGAGGATGCTCCCATCCCCATGGAACTCTGCCTGCAGCCCCCCAGCTCCCCATTTCCCTCAACTTCTCGGGGGAGCAGGTGCAAGCAGGAACATCCTCCTGGGCCAGGCACAGAGCCCGAGCCCCAGCACCCCGTGCCCGCAGCACCCACCATCGAGGCAACACCCAAGCAGGTACAACCCTGCCCTTCTCAGTGCCGCTGCCAACAGTGCACAGTGAAGGAAAAGCAAACCCCAAATAGTTCCCTTCCTCCCCGGGGCCTCTCCCCGGCCCACAACCAGACGTAGTCGCACCCCTCCGGTTCCTTCCTCGCGTGGAGGTAGTGATGCCCACCCCGGGATGGGTCCTGCCCCTGCCAGCGGCTCAGGGCATCATCCCGATGCAGCGCCAGGAGGGCAGAAGCTGCTGCCCACATGTACAGGGGCTTTTCCTGATGTGGGGAGGTCGATTTGGCCTAAAAGCAAGGAGCCATGGTGGCCCCGGGGTGTTGGGGATGGGGATTTAGCCCTGGGATGTGGCCGTAAGAAGGGACAATGCCAAGTGTGTCCCACTGTAGCTGTCCCTGGGCAGGGAGAGCAGTGGCTGCGCCCTCACCGCACTGCAGGGCATTTGCCAGCCACAGAAAGGAGCATGGCATGGCATGGCATCCCTGAGCCGTGGGCAGGAAGAGGTGAGATGGGGAGGCTGGGAGAGGGCAAAACTGGAGCCTGGGAAAACAGCCTTGGCTAGCCAGGCAGGGAGCAGACTTCCCCAGGGGATGCTGGGGATGGGACGGGACGGGGAAGGCATACGGGGGGGTGCACACCATTTCGTCTCCAGAGCAGCTTGGGTGAGCGCCCAGGTGCTGGGTGCCCCGGGGTGACAGCACTGCTCCAGGACAGGAGACAGGAGCGTGAGTGCCTGAGGGTCCCAGCTCCCCTCCCCACCCCCTGCACAGCTTGTCCCCAAAGCAGCATCGCTCCGGGCCTTGCGGGCAGGGCCTCTGAACAGCCCTTGTGCCAGCACAAGGTCACACTGTCCCCAGCCCCAGG